TCTAAATCCTGGGACTTGTTCTTACATTTCCCACGAAATCTGCCAATCGTCCGTGTCTTCATTTCTGCGCATAACCTCACCTTAATTGCGTTTAGGGTTCGTGTGCATTTTATAAGTTAGCCCGCCCAGAATGTTGAAATGAGGTTTCGCCACAAAATCGTCGTATGAGACGGCGGCAGGATGGTTGTCGGCAGTGTGGTTTGTTTGTTGGAAGGAACGCTGACTTCCCACTTCCCCCGTCTTTAGGCAGTCGCCGACGATCTCTTGATAACAATCAATAATGGAGTGGTATTATCGGAAAATTCAAAGGAGGCCGAAATAGTCGCATCGATTCTTTCGGCGTCGTCAGCCAAACACACGCTAACATTTGCCTATTTTAAATTTTGAATATCTACATTTAAGCGGTAGAATCGGGCGTATTCGACCTATGCCAATCAGCCTCTGTCCGCCTGGCGCCGGTAAAAAACAGATCTTCCACTCGGTCGTTTCGTGTTTTCTCTATAGGCCATAGGTGTGCTCCGCTGCCAGCACTTACTTGCGTTTGTATCACCTAGCAGTAATTTGGGTTTAACCGGCTCCAGGGTCTACGTCGCCACGGACCGGTCAAACCCCGTGTTCTGTGGTCGTCGACTAGACTCTCAGTCAAACGCTGAAATCCGTCTGGTTCACCATCCTCTCCAGATCCGACTTAACCACGTCTGTTTGCTTCTTTGGTTATCGACCAAGGTGTCGGCAGTGTAAGCTAGAACAGGGGTCCAGCTAGCTTGCATCACAGATAAGATCCCTTTTGAGTCGGTGATTTTTCATTGTATCATTAGTGGACGACGTCTCCGATCGAGGGTGGTTTGAAGTTCGTGTCGTGGTCCATGAGTCGAAGCGCCAATATTTTCTGGAGGCACCAGTTATCAAACAACTACAGAGCAATAAGGCTTCGATCGGCACTTCACGTGCTCAAATTTTTTACCTCACCCGAACCTTGTGGCGAGACCTTAGGCACCATAAAAGTTGGCATAGTATATTGCGTTCATGTTATACGTTATCGGCTTGCCTCCCGTCATTGGCTAGTCGATCGCCGAAAAGGCCGGGAGTAAACAGAACACGTGACATCCTCTCTCCATCCAGGAGGAGGACTCTGAGTATAGTGTGGGACCTTCGGACGCTTACGTTTGTTAGACGTTCAAATCCAGGATGAATTAGTAACAGGGCTACAATTATGCATGCACTCGAGAGCGGATTTCATTCCGTCAGGTGAGTTTCTAAGTGTGGTGGTATCGTCGGTGTGGCCAAAGTCCGTGACGATAGAGGTTTGTCCAACTTGGACGCTCTGATAATCATGGGATGCTGTGAACTGGACCGTATTCATTGCACAGTTAAAGGGCTGGTAAGGGAGTTCGACATTGTCCAAGAACAGTGTTTAGGGTCAATTACGCACCCTTTTCAATGTACTTTTGAAATTTTATTCGTGCGGAGTGACAGTGTGCTTTGATCAAGGTCAGAAATGTAAGCTGCTTGCTAGAATTTGATTTTACACTTTAGTTGACAAAGTAGGACGCTGTCTCGAACTCAAGGAAACGGACAGGCTTGTCCTGTTAAAAATAAGGCTTCGCTTCCAGCATATGCCGCAGGAAAGTGAATAGTTAGCATAGTTTTTACCAAGGCGGAGACAATCTCCGTCTAGGTTACGGAAGGTAGTCACAAAGACTTCCGCTTGTAATTACTTGTACTTATTAGAAGTGTGGGCAGACCTGATTTAACCGGTCTCGAAGATGTCGCGGATTATAACTCTCCATGCGTGACTACGACCGCGGATATGGAGAGCTCGACCTATTTTCTCCTCCAGCGACGGAGGCTGAATTCAGAAGGTCAAGAAACCGCTTCCATGTCCTGGCGAACTGTGTCCAGCCAGTTCTTGAGTAAACCTCTTCGACATCTCCAGCCGGGCAACGATTTCGGATCTAACGTCACTGAGCTCTTGAGACGAACGGCGAACGTGCCCAAACCGCCTCAGTCGTTTTTTATGGATGAACTAGGATATCCTCGCGGTGTTGTCTGGCTGAGTGCGGACTCTCTTATTCGGATTCAATACAGCTTACTCCATGAAAAAGATGATTCTCAGCCAGCGGTGGTCAAAACTTCCAGCTCCTGCTTTTTCCACGTACACAACCCAGCATTTACAACCGTATAGGAGCACTGACCAGACAGACGCCCTGTACACGTGGATCTTTCTGTCGACGGAGATGTCGTGTCGATCTTTACATACTGTCCGTGGGTTGCAAAAGTCATGCGACGAACACCGATTCTGTATACGATGTCGTCCTTTCATTGTCCCTTCAACAGAAGCCTCGCCTCGAGGCATTTTAAGTAGTCTATTCCTCCAAGTTGGCAGCCATTGGTCCCAAGGACTTCCTTCTCCTGCCCGCTAATGCAGCTCGAAAACCTCCCGTCTTCCCACCGTTCGTAGAAAAACCGATCGGTCTGACTACATCATTCATCCGCGATACAACAGTCTTTAAGTCACGAAAACTCATGGCTACCAAAGCGATATTGTCAGGACAGTCGAGATCAGTCACTGGGCGGCGGCTGCGTACTCAATATCGTTGGAACCATGTAGGACCCTCCCAAAAATATAATCAGTGTGTGGTCGAGCGGATGGGCGGCGGGATACTAACTTGTGGGACGCCGGATGAAGTATCGAACTGTTGCTAAAGATCGCTGTTAATTTGAAATGGCGCAATAATGGAGTGATTGGCGGGTTGCCCGTTAGCCTAGCTGCTGGCTACCCGGCGCGTCCATAGGTGGCGGATAGTGGGACGACCTTCAGTGAAGGTTAGCTGCGAAATAAGCAGACCCAGGTCTGACGAATAAGCAGTCGCGGACCGGCAGCGACATTGCTACCAGGGTGCGGTGGGCTAAAGTCTGGCACGCTGAAAGCCTTATAAAATGCCGCAAAACCCAATGACGGCATTGTGACATGGCGACCGTAAACCGCCATTAAATAAGTTTTCTTGCCACCGCTGCCTTGTGGTTAGGCTTTTAAGCCAAAGCGCTAGAGGA